GGGGCCAAAAGGGGGGGTCCAAGGAAGCCCGGTCCCCGGAATTCCAGGATTGGGCCCAGAATTTCGGCCGGAGGCAGACAAGCCGGCTGGCGCCCATTGCCGCACCTGCGTTGCATGGCGCGTTCGCAGGGGCAAGTCAAATATAACCCACCGTAGCTGGCTGACCATCCCAGACCCTAGTTATGGCAACGCCCTTCGGCGGTGGCAGTCCAGGAGTCGTGGTTGGGGGACTCGGATGGCGCCTCTCTCCATTCTCTATGGGGGCTGTGATCGTCTGCAGTACAAGCAAGGTCCACTGCATCCAGGACAAGGTCAGTACGTGGACTATAGCACGCGACGCCCCTCCACCTTGTGCATGGTGCGCCTGCCGATGTGTATGCCGATGGCGGCTGGCAAGAGGTAAGCGTGTGGACGGGGCTTTTGCAATCATCTCTAAAATATATCACTGCCTTTACCTAATGGAGACAACAGGATCTTCAGTCCCCAGGGGGGCAAGGCTGCTCTCCCGACAGTTTGAACCTGCGCGATGCATGGCTTCCTGGCGTTGGCTCCATGCCGTCGAAGCAGTCTAGCCAGAGCAAGAAGGAGTTGTCACTCTATTGGATCCCAAAGGCAATCAAGATTTCTCACAAACCCTGCTAGGTCATCTTGCTGATGTGTTATTCTGGGGCTGGATCAATGGGTCTTATAAAGGATGTGGGCTGGGATCATCCGCCTTCGCGATGCCATCTTCGTCCCTCTCCGTCTGGTCTTCTGCCTTTCTCTGCGTTGTTTGCTATTCCCTGTCCAAGAGAGCAAACGGTCCGCCTGGCACCGATCGCGTCACGAATTCATCGCTGCTGTGCTACTGATCAAACTGCCTCGAGGGCCCTTGTCGTTCTTCTCGGAGTCGTACGAATACGAACACGCGAATTTCCCAGTCTCAGCGTTTGTCTCGCGTGTTTGGTCACTGTTCGGCCTCCCACCCAAGCCGTAGCCATGACGGGTGCGGCCAACAGCGTTCAGCGAGACGTAGAACCCGGTTGCAAGACGGGCCTCTACTACATAACCATTGCCAATGTCCGTGGGCCCCCTTAGGAGACATGGCCCGACAATCTCATCAAACTGACGCTGACGACAACCCAGTTGCCCTTTGGCACATCATGGCACGAGCTGAAGGACTGGCTTCGGTATACCTGCATCGTCGAGCATGTTGAGATCTTCAACAGTAGTACGTCCGGCTGGGTCCGTGTCAAAGGAGAGGACAACTTTCGTCGAGCATTAGGTGGGCCACGTGGCGAGCGCACACTGCCTTGCTTTTCTGACTCGATCTTCGTAGGACGCCTCAATCAGTGCGAGTTTGGGGGCCGATGCATCATTGCAGACGGGCGCAATGCCACGGAGCGCATCAAGATCAAGGAGCTCATTGGTGACCCGTCGTCGTCAGCACCGTCGATCGCCTCACCACACGTACGCGGCGTGTCGGTCATGACCTCCCCATCTTACGGAGTAGCTGTAAAGCCATCAGCGACTGCGAGCCCTGGTCATCATGGGAAGGTAAGCATGCTGAGCATTGCACAGCGTGTGTAGTATTTTGACATTTTTTTCCCTTTCTACAGTGGTCTGCTCGAACACCATCCACTGGTGTTCCATATTCGCCCTATTCGGCAGTTGAATTGCCAGCTCCGTATCACGCCGAGACCCCTAGGACACCATATTATTCCTCGTCCAACAGCACCACCGGCTACACCGATGCTGGAGGTGGCTATCCGTACGAGATGGAGCCGGCGCTCGGCGGTCGAGTTCGGCAGCCCTCCTACGATTACCGAGCACAACAGTACGCAATGTACGACGGGCCAGGCTACGGTGACGAAGGGTCGTCGGCGACGACTGGCGAGCACTACAGCTCCTCCGCATCCTCGGCAGGTCTATTAGTCACGGAACAGCGCAAAATCATCGTCAAACATCTCAGCTCGAGCTCTTCTGAGGACCAGCTGAGGAAGCTCATTAAAGCGTCCCTGAAGGTAGTCACGGCGGACAAGCACCAACTCCAACACATTGAGTTTCCGCGCGACAACGACGGACGTCTGAGGGGTCACATCTTTGCGACATTCAAAACGCCCGAGGTGGCCTGCGGCATCGTTGAAGAACTGAATGGCCAGCTCTTTCAAAGAAAGATCCTTGAAGTGCGGCTGACAAACGAGGGAGTGATCCGAGGGCTTGACCAGCAGCAGCAGCAGCACCATCACGAAGACTGGGAAAGCAACGGCCAGCAGACACAAGGACAAGTCGAAAAAGGACAAGAAGGACGCGGACGGCAAAAGCAAGAGCAGCAAGACGTCAAAAGGACGCGGACACGGTGATCGATACGGTGACCGAGCCCAGGGCCCGCCCATCATCGCGAACGGGTCGAGTCGGGCGTCCAGATCGCCTGAACGGGCGAGGCGAAGGGCCGTGTGAGCGGGCGCGGCCCCTTCACGAGTGAGACGAAGGATTCACAATGATCACGAAACGGGCGTCTATTCTGGGAAGGCGCGGGGATTTAGGTTCATGGTTTGCGAACTCAACAAGTCGTTTTTCTTTTTCTTTCGGGGCTGATTAACTTCTGCTAGTTTCACCCGACTAATCAATTAAAGCAAATCTTCAAGGTTGGCAAAATGTCTGAGAGTGGGCTGACGAGCAAAGAAGAGCATGCAGGCTATGTGATGTTGAACATGCTGTGCAACACGCCGCTCAGCCAGAACGCCCCTTGTATTGCCGCGTCGCCCGGCCGAGCAGTTCGCCCATGCAGAAAGGCCTCGCCAGTTTCCATTGGACGTGTCAAGTCCTGGGTCTCCGGGGGCATGCATGCATGCATGCATTAATTGTGATTATGTGGTAGCATGTGTATGCGTTATGTATGTGTCTGTGTGTGACGGCGCTGGGGAGCCGGAACGGCGCCGCGGTGGTGGATGTTCCCCGGAATGCAGGTTGAAGAAGGTGGGGTGAGGCAAACAACAGGGCCATTCTCCACACCCTCGGCTTTCCTCTGCCATGTCTTGGCTCGTCCTGCTTTGCGTGGCCTGAAGGATGTAGGGCGTGTGATGAGATGCCTGGCCCTGCCGCATAGGGGCTGGTGATGTGTTCGGGAGGAGGTTAGGGGTGCGGGGATTTGACAGCTGGGCATGCAGCCTGTTGTGTTCCCGAGTGACGTAGACGAGTCCAGGCTGACAAGTTTTTTGGGGGGGGGGGGAGAGCGGGAGGTTCGCCTATCCTTGGCTTGACTGAGTGATGTGCGTTTCCGGGTTTGTGTTGTTGTGCATGCCCTCTGTGTAACCGACCCCCTTTCTTCTTCTCTCGACATGTTTAAATTTAGGTTGGTACGAGTATCACTTTGTGACAGACAGGCTGCAGATTATGTTGCGTATGTGAAAGACAATGGGATGTGCATGTGATGACAACTCTAGATATTTGAATCATGTCACATCGAAGGCAGCATATTGATGTTCAGACCGGCCGGACACTCTTCCCAGCTGTGCAATATCATCCGAGAAATACAAGGCTGAGCACCGACCGCCCCCTATGAGGGTTCGTTCCTACGAAGATCTTCGTCGAACAGACATGACCAGAGGCGCCTTCATCTGCAGCTACATGGCGGCACTGCGAGACGGGACTCGTCTGCGTCTGCAACCCAGGCCTGACTGCCTTCACATGCCATTATGTATGAGGCTAAAGACGAGGATCAAGGCCGGTGTGCGGCACTTCTCAGGGGGAATTGCCAATGGAGGAACCTCACCGCACGGCAGAACATCCACATGGCCAAAGCAAATATGCAACGAGCTGCGCGAACCCGATCTTCGAAACCGAGTCCAGCAAGCCGCATCAACCGGCCGGACCAACCTCGATCGAAAACGGGGCAGCCAGCCAGCCTCCTCCTACCTCTTGGCCCTCCCCATCCGCTGCCGCAACGACCCGCCGCCGGAACGAACCCTCCCCCCTCCCCTCCCCTCCCCTCCCCCATCATCCGTCAGTCAACGCAACGCTATCCGGGACCCCCGGAATCATTGAGCTTGGCCCCCCTGCCATATCTCGCGTGACACGAGCCGCTCAACAGGCCCAAGTCCGCCGAGCAGCTCATGGTCCGGGTATGCATCGCGGGTAGCCGCGTGACAGCCGCCCCCAAGCCAACAAACCCCGGACTTGTCCTGGGTCCTCGAGGATACCTCCCCTCGCGGAGGATTCTTTGTCTTCAGCAGGGCCGGGCCGCCCCCCCCCCCTTTTGACACGCCCTCTTTCTTTTCTCCTTTTCCCTCCTTCCCTGGTCCCCTGACCCCCAATTGTTTTCCCTCGGATAGTTCCGGCCATGGGTGGCTGACACGGAGAGAGGATGAGAGAAAACGACAACGGTTGGCCTCCTTTTCTCCCCATCATCCATTCGCCGCTTTTGTGACTTCATTCCGAAAGGGTGGTGGTGTCCTGCGCTCGCTCCCGATTTGGCCCTTTACGGAACTGGCTGCACGAAATTTCAGACGTATATTTTCATCGGATTGCTGGGCTCTAACCCTGTTCCTATCGACGGGTCACATCTTGCTGGTCGAGGGAGAACGTCACTTGTTTCCTCCATCACAATGTGCTAATATCGAACCGCCCACCGCCCCCACCTCGCTTCAAAGCCATAGCATCAGCCCCCAAAGTTCATCTTCAGCGCGATGGTAGGCTGGCCCCCGCTGCTGTCGCCGCCCGCGCCACCACTGCCCGCAGCGCCTCTGGCCTCGTTCGACGCGCGGCCGCCCGCCCGGATGACCTCCTCGAGAAACGCCCGCTGGGCCTCGCTCATGCCGCCCACGATAGCCCTGAACGTCGTCTGGTCGGCGTGCGCCAGCTCCAGCAGCCGCGCGCCCGTGTCCTGGTACGCATCGTCACCCTCAGCCGAGGCCCGTGCTAGTAATGTCGGCAGCACGAGCGCCATCGCTGCCGTTGTGCGCTCGCGTTTGCCGACGGCGGCGATCGACGCGACGTACTGCGTCAGGGTTTGCGCCACGAGGGCGCGCGCCCGTTCTGGGTCTTCCGGGTCCGTGTTTGTCACAAAGGCGACCAGACGAGGCAGCAGGTATCGCGCAAGGCTCTGGTCAGCGGGCGTGGGGTTCGGCTGAAGGAACAGGGAGCGGATGCAGTTTGCAGCGATCTTTGCAGTCTATGAGAGTGGCGTGTTAGCGTGGCCCCAGCCTAGAGCTTCTACTTGGAGGGGTATCGTGCCACTTGGGCAGGGAAGAGGCAGAAAAGGGGTGCATAACACAAGACTTACCATGCGATCCGTCAGGCAGTCAACCAGCTCATCAAGATACCGAGCTACGAGCGGCTCGTTCGCCCCAAGGTGATTCGTTCCACCTGTAAAGAGGATTGTGATGGCAAGCAAGCAATTCTTCACGCAGGCGAGCGATGTCGACGCCTCACGTTTCTGTGCGTTGAGGTAGATTGATAGGAACCGACGCAGACACCCTTGGAGCTGCACATCCGTTGCGGACGCCTCGCCTTCGTTGACCGGCCTCCGCGAGCCGGACACGCTAGTGATGAAGCGCTTGAGTGTGGGTAGCGACTGTGCGACGATGACCTCTTGGCAGGATGGTGCTGCGAGAGTCGTGGCGAATATGTGGATGATACAGGCGTGGAGGTCCGTCTTGATGATGGAGGGGAACACTTCTGCAGCATCGACAAGCGCGTTGAGAGCCGACCTGATGAGCAGGATCGCCTCTTCCGTCATCTGGTGACGAATCGGCTGGTTCTCTCCGGTGAGATTTGGCAGCAGACCGGAGAGTACAAGCACAATGATGCGTGTCAGCTCAAACAGCTGCTCGATGTCGTCGGACAGGTTACCATCGTCGGCAGCATTCTTCTTGCGCGCAGAGGGGTGGGAAACGCAAAGTGCCCGGGCAATCTCTACGATGACGCCCTGCACGTCGAGACCTTCTGTCAGAACGAGACGATCTAGCAAGTCCATCGTCTCGGAAAAGATGGCGTCGCGGTAGATCGCATGTCCAGAGACACTTGGATGCAGAATCTTCTTCAGAGCCCGGAGGATGGCCAAGTTTTGCTCTTGTGTCGCCAGCGAGTCAGTCTGTCCTGGGCGAGTAGCTAGAGCCTCAAACGCGATGCCAAAGAGAACGAAGAAGAAGGCGACGGGCTCATCGCGATAGTTAATGTCGGGTCCCTTGCCGCTGCCGTTGGTGGCAAGTCCATCGACCTCCTTGCCATCTAGAGCATCAAACACGAATTCGCTATCTTGCTCGATGAGGCTCGCAATGGCATCCACGAGCTTGAGCCACGACTCCTGGTAGAACTTGAGAAGCGTCTCCCGGTTAAGGGCAGCATAGATGGTGTCAAGACTGCCAGAAAGTGAGGGGGGCCCAAGGGTCATGGAGATGTCGGGCTCGAATCGCAGCCTGGCGAATTCGCGAAGTGACTCGAGCCAAAGCGGAGTCAAGGTGCCAATATGAGGCTTCAGAACCTCCAGAAGGTATTTCTGTTCCGAGCTGGCTACCTGGAGCTCTGCCCACGCTGAGAAGACGGACATCTTAACCATGACCTGAGCGTTAGAGCTGAGACCCTTAAGCTCGCCAATGCCAGCATTTTCGTTCTCCTTGGAGAAGTTCTCTAGCCCGGTCACCAGCGTCTTCAGGATTCGGCCCATGCGGTCGACATCAGTGACGATGCCAGTCGAGATGAAGCCGGCGCAGACATTGACAGCCTCGGCCGCCAGTTCAGGCGACGAGTCAACGGCAAATGCTGGTGTAAGTGCAGAGCTGATTTGAGCCTGGTACTGTTCGAGCAGCATAGCCTCCTCGAAATCCGGATCAGGCGATCGACCGAACATCTTAAGAACATCACCGATGATCTTGAGACCCCAAATGCGCAGCTCCACTACACTAGATGTCGAAGCGGAGAAAGCCATCTTGACAACATCAGCGATCCTGCCCTGAAGGGCGACCTGGGCGGCAGACTCTCCGTTCGTCGCGACATCCTTATTGATCAAGACGAACATATCGCCAATACAGCTGATGGCGAAAGTCGTGACTTGCCAACGGAGCGGTTCGACCTCTGATGCTGCCTTGGTGTCAGGATCATCCTTGGCCGCTCCGAGGGCAGCTGCGAAGCCAGCCACTTCTTCGTCCCTGAGGTCGGGCAGTCCGCCTGATTTTGTCTTGTTTGCGTCAGGGTCGGTCTTGGGCTTCGCCCGCGTCATCTTGAGAACGCCCTGAACGCGTTGCAGCCACGCCTCTGTCTTGGTCAAAGAGGTCTGTCGAAGCCAGTTGCGGAGAATGTTGCGGATGCCATCGTGTGTTGGGATTGTGTCAAGGACCAGCCATAGCTCATCCTCGAAACCCTTATCCGCTGCCTTGATCACGTCTTCTGGATCCCTCTTCATCATACTGTACAGTCCATCGACAGCAACGTCCCGCAGCGTGGCGAATTCAGAATTTAAATAGTGCTGAAGAAGCTTGACGTACTTTTCGAATTCCATGTAGCCAGGGGCGTAAAGGGACAAGTGTTCCAAGCAGCTAAGGCTCGCTCTCTGCACCTCGAGATCATCCTCGTTTTGGAACTGTCCCACCAAATCCAGGATGAGCCCTCTTGACTTGGTAGAGTCTTGCAGGTCCGGTCCCAGGACATTGATCAACGAGTCGACGCCTCGTGCAAGTGCAGCAGTGGTCGACGTTTCCATCTCGAGATTCATGGTTACGGCTGATGAAGTTTCCGCATTGTGAGTGTCCGAGACGTACAGCTGCACAAGCATACCCAGCGTCCCCGGGACATAGGTAGAGAAGCTGAGACCGGCCGCATCTGCTGTCAATGCCAAAGCCTCCAGAGCCCAGAAGTGGACTATAGGGTGAGGGTCGCTGCAGAGCGACATGAGGACGCCGAGAACAGTCTTCAAGTGGTAGCCAGCCGCCATACCGCCGACCTGCTTCTGGATCGAACCCATAGCCATAGCACATCCTGCTCGGGCGCTGGGTTCTCGGTTCGCCACAATCGTGTCAACGAGATACTTGATCTCATGATTGGTAAAGGCATTACCGCAGGCATTGCAAAGCCTGGCAACAGCGGCGTAGCCGATACTTCGTACATACTGATCCCCATCTATGATGAAGTCGCGCAGCATCTCCTGGAGCAGCTTCTCCACAGCCAAGGTCGTGACATCACCAGAAGGTGCCTGTGTTTCCTTGGCGGCAACGCGGAGGGTTGAATGGATGGCGAGACACACATTGACATTGATGGCTGCCTTCCGACCGGGATCTCTCTGCAACGATCCAGCCGACATGAACGTCTTGATTTGCTCGAGAATGCTTTCTTGCACCTTAGCAGGAGTCAGGGGGAAAACGAAAGCAAACAGCTGGATAGCCATGTTGATAACTTCCGTCGCTGGTGGATCGGGGGCGCTGGAATCTGTGGTATTGTTTCCGATGTATAGAAGCGAGGCATCATGCTCAAGACTGCCACATATGGGAGATAGGAGGAGTCGGTCAATGGCCTCGTCTGGGGTGTTATCCTGATGAGCATAGCCTTCCTCGAGCGAGGACTCGTGTTGACCCGGCAGACGTCGAATGTTGAAGCCCGAGATCAAGCCTGTGAGGCCGAACCCAGAGTTGTCGCCGGCGTCCCAGACAGTCTCGAAATTTGCGGCTGCACTGGCGATAGAAGCGCTGATGGAGGAACTAGGCGCATAATTCTCGGGATCGGCAAACAGTGAGATAGCAAGAGTGAGGAGGTTCGACTGAATCAGAGCCTCGCTGCCCCCGGCTGGGCTGAGGTTCACCAGCTTAGCATAACACTGCAGAACGCGGCGCTGTACCATCATGTCCAAGTCTTGCAGCTGAAGAGCCGGCGTCAGCCTCTGAGCAACATCATCCGTCAGCTTCTTTGCTGGCAGAGATCGCAAGAATGCCGATGTGTTCTGAAGCATTGTCGCGATGCGTTTCGATACATCAACTGTGAGGAGGCGGCTGTTGAACTGCAAAAAGGCCAGAATGGAGCCGAGAGCGCACTCGCGAACATGAGTGAGGAAGGAGGCTTCCAGGAAGCTACGATGGGAGGTGTTGTCCTTAGACAGGGGCTTCGGCAGTGCATTCTTCCAGAGAAGAAGTAGTTGCGAGAGATGGATTTTGACAAAGTTGGGTCCCAGCGACATAAGACCGCCGATCATGATCCACGCCACTTGGATTTGCGTGCTAGAAACCCGAAGCTCTGACTGTCCACTGGACTTCAGTAGATTGGTCGCCATGGTAAGGACTCGACTGTTTATATCAACAGACCCGTACAACGGCCGCGAAGGGCTTGCGCTGAGCGTCGCAGCCAAGCCGTGTGCGTATCCTATACATCGACGAGGGGAGTTGCGCCCCGTTGTCAAAAGGGACAATTCGCGATTGATGCTGTTCATGCACACGGACAAACATGGCAGCAACTGTTGAGGGCAAGCAAGCACAAGCTCCTTCATGCATGCCGAGGCATGGACCTGGACAGAATAGCTGGGGTGTTGCAGGACGCCCAGGAGGCCGTCCCTGCAGGCTTCGGCGAAGCCGTTCGCTGCTGACCCGAGGCTCTTCACTAGCGACGCCACCACGCCCAGCGCAGTGATCAATGTGTGCTTTGAAGGTTCGGGCCGTTCGGGGAGCGCTTGAGGATAGTTCTTGATGATGTCGTTGGTGATGGCCTTGGCTGCAGCCATCTGACCTGACTCGCCGAGTATCTTTTTGCCAACGATGTCTTGCAGAATCGTGTTCGTGATGCGCCGCGAGACCAGGAGGCGGTACCTGTTGTTCGTGATACTGGGGTGGCCAAGAATATCAACAGACAGGCTATCGACAATCTTGAGGAAGTTTGTCTCAACCGTCTTCTCGCCTAGCTTCCTGAATAATTTGCCGAAGCATACTCCAATGGCAGCCCGCGCCCTGTTCGTTGTAGAGATTTTGGTGTAGTGTCCGGTCAGAATTTTCAGAATGTCCGCCAGCGACAGCGCCAAGGTCTGTCCTTTCCTTCCACCAGGCGCGGGGCTCTCCGATCGAGACGGAGGAAGATCGTCTTCGTCTTGCAGGTTGCTTGGGATGGTACTCTGGCGCTTGAGAGCTTTGGACTTGGGCTTCTTCTTGGCCACAGCCTCTGCGGCCCCTGTCTCGTTGTATGCGCGCAGCATGGCTTCGGCGAGGGTATCGGCGGCCGCATGCCGGACCTGCGTCGAAGGCGAGTCGATGACCTTGAAGATGACGGTCTGCAGCTTGTCAAAGTCGGTTGAGACCTCAAAGTATGGCGTGTACCCGCACGAGCGCCCGGAGGCAGCGGCATGCTGACACGATGGCCAAGGCGCCCTTGTCGCTGGTCGCAAAGCTCCTAGCCTGTTTCCAGATGTCCCTGGCAATGCTTTCGTCCATGCTGCCCTCGACCATCTTGACCACCTTCGCCAGAGATGCGAAGACGGCTGCCCTCAACCCAGCGTGGTTTGAGGAAAGCTTGAGGAGCTTCAGCATGGCGCTGCAGGCAATGGGGTGCAGGCCGATCGCACTGTCTCCTGCAGACGCGAAAACATCGCCGAGGCACACGACAGCCGCATGTTTGGCGCGCTGCGAGGATTCGGCCTTGCCCTTGCCTCCTTGTGTGATGCTGACGAGGTCGTTGATCGTCTCGAACAGCAGTTTGCGGTCTCCGTGGCCGAATATATGCGCAAGACACTTTCCGAGATTGTTCCTTACAACGCGGGTCGGCTGAGGGGTGGTCAAGTTGATGATCTGGAAGACTTCTTTCTTGAGGTAGAACTGCTGGGCGGTACAGTCATCATTGGAGAGCGCGAGAACATGTTTGGTCAGGGCGGCGACCGAAGTCAGCAGGAATAGCTGTTGCTGGTCGGCGGGAAGAGATTGGAGTTTGGGGAGGTCGAGCTCTGGGTTGGCAGACACGGCAGCGGGAGCTACCGCGGGCGGTACTGGCGCCGCGGGGTCGCCATTGGATCCGCCATGAGGCCCCGAGGGCTCTGTTGACGACATGGGTAGAGTACAGAAGATGGTGTCGTCGTGATCTTGTTGGCCTAGGAAGATGGGCGTATATGACCCTGGAGGGTTGGTTGGGTGAGGTGTAGGTTAGGCTCCCGTCAACTCGAAGCTTGGAGTGCAGGTCCAGGCTGGGAGGTGTGGAGGGATGGAAATAGTGCAGTTAAAGGGGTTGTACAGCATGTCATCACCCTTGAGCTGGACCTGCCAATCACCACTCGCAGCCAGTCTTCAACATGTCCCACCCGCCATGTTCCACTTTATTTTCTGGCCAGACCCTCGACTCTAACCTTGGACTCGACTTCTAGCTCTTGAGCTTGTTGATCGTGACGAGGTTGATCTCTGGTCGACCATGTGTGCACGATGCGTCCGTTCTCCTCCTCCTCCTTGACCCGAAAATACTTAGGGTTCCCACCGAGCCCACCTCTCTGTCGCCAATGCCTCCGACAGTTTTCCACCACCCCGCCCCTAGCTTCAGGTCACAACAAATGGTCCAAGATCAAGCATCGCAAGGGTGCCGCTGATGTTCAAAAGACGGGCCTCCGCGCCGAATCATCGCGCATGATCGCGCTACTCTCACGATGTCCGTTTTCCTTCCACTTTTCGCCAGCTTGTGCAGTTGCTTACAGGCACCATCATAGTGCACGGCGAAACCAGCCCTCAGGTCGGCGCCGCCCTCGCAACTGCCAAGAAGGCCGGTGTTCCGAAGCACATCCTCGAGGGCGCCGTGGCGCGAGGCCAGGGTCGCTCTGCCTCCGGAGCCAGCCTCGAGCCCCTGACCATCGAAATCATCATGTCCCCGGGCGTAGCATTGATCGTGGACTGCGAGACCGATAGCAAGGGCAGGAGTCTGCAGGATCTTATGTTGATTGCCAAGCGGCACAAGGGCCGCACAGGCTCGTCTGCGACGTTCCTGTTCACAAGGTTGGGGCGCGTAGTCTTTGAACCTAGAGACCCAGCAGCACCGGCTGAGACGCCGGCGGTGACCATCGACGATATTTTGGATGAAGCTATCGAAGCGGGCGCCGAGGATATTGAGACCGATGATGATGGAAACATCGTCATTTGGACGCAGCCGAACATGACCACGGCTGTGACGCAAGCACTGGGGCCCAGCTTCGGAGACCGCATTCTCAGTTCGGAGATCATCTGGGCAGCGAATGAAGATACCAAGGTGAAGGTCGACACAGAGCTCGACGCACAAGGCCTTGCCGACCTGCTGGCTGCCCTACAGGAGCAACCAGAGGTACAGGGCATCTACGCCAATGTTGCTCAGGGTTCCATCTCGGACGAAGATTGGCAGCGCATCGAGGATACCTGGATATGTGACATGGCAAACTCCTAGTCGTACACTTGTATTCGTACATGTATACCCAGTCTTGTACAATATGTAGAACAGTAGCCACTAAGGGCTCATGAGGAGCGACACCTGGCGGCCCAGTCTTGCCAAACAAAAGCCCCCGTCCTTTCCAAACGCCAGAATCAATACACACATGTCCCACCACGGATTGCTTCGAGCCCAATGGCCCATGCTATTCCCAGCACGGCCATAGCGGAGTATTCCACACTTCTCTGTGTTCCGGCTCGAGACGATCGAGTAGGTGTAGCGTGGTCTACGAGTCGTCCTGCTGTTGCTGCGACACACCCTCGCGCTCCTCCCTCTTCCGTCGCAGGTCCTCGAGGTACCGCTGTCGTTGCATCAAGCGCTTGTATTCTTCCTTGATCTCATCGCGCTCAAAGGGGATCTTATGTGAGTTCTCGGCCTTCGGCCAGTAGCCGGCCACGGCGAAGCGTTCGTCGAGGTTGGTGCCGAAGTAGTACATGATGCCAATAGGGAACATCAGGTACATGCCGAACTGATGTCGTCAGCCTGGGGGCCCATCAATATCAGAGCGATTAGTCAAGTCACCTTAAAAACTTCAAGGTTGAGACCGCCCATTGTGATGAAGTTGACTGGTCGTGGCTGCGATGCTAGGTATGGTTGTCGAAGGTGGGATGACGGCTGGCCGGAGCGGGTGGGAAGAATTGCATGATGCTGGTTATTGGAATCTCAAGCCAATCATGTTCTTAGAATGCGGCCCTTCAGTTCAGCCAATGGTCAGCCTCGAATTTCATATTGGCTCCACTTTCAAGCTATCGTACCTGTACGTCCAGTGCGAGCACTTCTCAGAATCACCAGCAACTCAACTCAGATCCTTTTCTCTGGAACGTCCGCAGCACGACGCCATTCTCCCGCAAGTCAGGTTGAGCTCCTTCAAAGTCTTCCCAGGCCATTTTTAAGGACTGGGTGTGTGATAAGCTCTTCTTGACTCACCATTCGCTTCTTTCACTTGATGAAGAAACAAGCCGGTCACTGAGATCGTGCACTAGGCACACTCGTCGACTCTCATGCCGGTAAGGCTAGGTGCCAAGATAGACAATACCATCATGGCGCTTGAATTATATCTGCTCATTGCGCACAAGAATCCATTCTCAATAGCTTCGCGATCCTTCGTAATCTTCAATCACAACGGATACGCATTAAAACCCAACACCAATCAAATTTGGACTTTCCGTCATGTGTTCGGGCCTTATATAAAATATGCGACCCTGTGCAATAAGACTTGATACTCGGACGCCGCCTGAGCTTCGTGACCAGGGCTGGACACTGGCACCATAACCGTCGCTGCCGCTAGATGGCACGGAAGACATTCGCCGTGGCTCACGAAGATTCCCTGCTCATAACCCGGCATTTCATCACACGACGCGAGTGCAACCAACAGCTCAAGATCTTTCAAACCCATATTTGACCAAATAAGACAACGCAGTCTGGGCGATGAGCCCTGGTCATTCGATGTGATTGATCTGTCCATGCGCCAACCTTGCTGAACAGTGAACAGTTCCAAGGCTTCAGAGTTCATTGAAGAGCACTGATGTTGATCACACCAGACTCGTCTTGATCCTCTCAGCAAGTCCCTAATGATTCGTCCAGGGCGCAGTATAATGTAACCTCCGTCGGTGTCACAAGCTCGATAGAATAGGGACAGCGTGCCTGGCCCCGCCAACTCGACCACTTCTTGCGTCACCGAGAACGTAGCTGCACACTCCTTGGGCCGTGACCGGTCAGGATTTCCAAGCCGCCCCCGCGGTGCACCGTTACTCGGCATCTTCCCGCTTGATCCGGACGAACTTATTTCAGGATGACGCGCTAGTGTGTGCACATCTGGACCCCGGAGCAGTTTGACAGTCTTTAGCGTCGAGGAAGTCCGTGTCAGATCGACAATCATATCGTGGATTTTGGCGTATGCCCGTGGGTTGTTTCCAATCCTGTTGATGTGGCCAGGGATCACATGGATCTGTCGTACTTTATTGGCGTGAGAAGTCAAGTCCACAGTCATTTCAGCAAACACACAAATTCCCTCGCGATGAATGGCTAGAATTGCTGGATCATCTTCCAATTCGAGAGAAAGAGATACATGCGAACCGGTGAAGAGTTCCAGAACTTCAATTAGCCCCATGTTCCAGTCGTACAAGTCTCCAGGGCACGATGTGGACGAGTGACTAAATCCTGACAAGTGAATATTAGACCGAAAATGAGTTGAGATGGCGCTCCGGTATATGTACTGAAGTCCCTCTGAAGTCGGATTTAAGGACTACTCGGTATGAATTCTCAGCGAAGACATCGTGGACACAGTTTTGCTTATCGTGACCGCCAAGCGCGCTGAACAACATTCGGATGATGTTGTGCGGTAAAGACCTCTGCATTCGCGGCACTTGCAATTGTATCGCAACATATCAAGATCCGTTTGTACCTGGCCGTAGGCAACCTTGAAAGTCGTAACCGCAGCATTTTCCATGTGTTGACGGAGCTCTGGGCTGGAAAGCTCAGGGAAGGTTTGACTAACGGAATTGATGAACCCGCGCCCGTAACTGGCCTCATTGAAGTTAACAAAGGCCTTACGATCACAGTCGCCGACATCACGCTCACCCACCGCTAGGGCCAGGTTAACCCGCGCAATACTTCCAAGAAGAGAGCCGAGTAATTTGGAAGCTTTCATGAGTTTAAGGAAGATGTCCCCGAAGTTCAGGCTTAGCGCCAAGTCCCAGGGAACGCGGCTGCGCAGTATCAAAGACTCCTCGTCGTCCAGCGCGATGATGTCTCTGATGTTCCCGATCACATACGATGTGCTTGATATGTCGATCATCGCAGTAGTTGTTTCACTGCCATACTGGACGTGGACCTTTGCCGTAATAGGATCGATCGGACATTCTCCAATCGACGGAGCGAACAGAACCTTGCCATTTTCGTCCTCGACGTACGTGGTCAGGTCGAAAAGCCAGTGTGAGATGGCAGCGATGAAAGCACAGCTGAAACCCCCAACAACAGTGATACGGTTGTGTTTCTCAGTGGTGATGTCGAAGACGCCACGAAGAGCTTTTGCGACGTCGGCAGGCTCAGAGCATGTTTGCACAATTGCTTCTGGGCTAGCAATGGGAAGGCGGAGATCCATCATGCGACGGTAAACTTCGGGGAACGGCGAGGCTGACAACACCCCACTGCACACCTTGACGAGGCTCCTGAATTGTTCAAGCGATGGCTTGTATTCTTCTGAAAACTCATACACATCCCACAGGGCAGAAAGAATCATCGCTAGCATGCCCCCTCGATGTACTTCGGCCAAACAAGCGCACAATGCGATAAGCTTGATGCCTGAAAGAGTCTCGGTCATGATGCGAAAGAGACTCCGATGGCCGAATCCAAAGTAGAGGAGGTTCGATGCAACACTTTGATACTTGAGCCTCTTAATGGCATCATCAAGTCTCTGAAGTCCACGTTCGGGCATCTCAAAGCGTGTGACAAGTTGCAACCCGGCCGCTAAGTGAAGGGCTGGACTCCAGCTCCTTGGATCCGTGCCAGGATGTCGATGGCGAATTTTTTGGAACCGTGGTGCCAAAGGGAACCCAGTCGACAGAGCCTTGTGGGCGAAGCCAACCTCTTGAGAGGGACCGGAGGCGATGATTTAATTGCAGTTGAAGTCTTTGATAGGCCGTCAGTGAGTGTTCCCTTGATGGTGGCCATGACCAAGATCCTCGACATACTTGTTATGAACTTGAAAAAAAAAGAGGAATATGGCTTTGGCTATTTCGAACAGTGATAAGAGGGGAGATGCTGAAGATGCGGAAAGTAGACGGCGGACGAGACCTGATGGAGGTGACCAAGGACAGGACCTCCTGTCAGATTATAAGAGCACCATGCTGAACCCTTCGGCCAGCGCCATAAAGTGCTGGTCTCCTCCTACTCGTCCGGAGCTCACGACTTCCTCACAACCACATCACAGAAGGAGGAGGGGCGAATTGCTTTCACACCGGCGACAGCTCGCAGCCTGCTTCATGCATGGCCTTGGCCCAACCACCCAGTCCAATAGTTGATAGCCACATGCCGAGCTGTATGCAGTTCTTCGCCCGGGCTGTCTACGGGGTTCATCGTAGCCTGAATCACGGCCGGGGTGGCGGTTGTGTAACACTCCTTGATGGTGGTCGTAGATATGAAGACACGAATGACGAAGATGGGCGCCTCGGACGTCGGTTGCCACTTTTGGGAGGCGGACTCTTGGTCAGCGGGCTGGAATGAGGTTCTCGGCATTGTAGAAATTTCGGGCGGAAGAACCTATTATAAGGCGACCACCTTGGCCTACCTGTCCTTGTGTCAGCAACCCTTGTCAAGAGCTGAGACGGCAGTATCTTAGCCAACAGGCTACTGTGCCGAAAAGAACGACCGATATCTGTAAAGCTCGTGAATCAATCCATAGTCAGACGACGCGCCCAGCTTCCCACAACAAATACGTTGAGGCAGTCACAAGATCCGAATGGGGGGCGGACCTAGAAGAAAAATCAACTGCCGCAGTAGCAGCCGGTTGTATCCAGAGATTACCTAGAAGAAATAGCTTTTCCTCCGCAACGCCTTGCTCCCTTTCCAGCTTTTGGAACAAGAAAAGCCTTAACAGCATGTGCACCTCGCCCAGCTACAACACCAGGTGATACCCCCCGGCCCTTGAGCCACGAAAAACCAAGACCACAAAGCGCCCAAGCCATAAACCGTCCCCGTTTTCCCGCCTCTAGGTAAAGATAAGGATGTTCCCGGAACTTTTAATCTTTTTACAGGCCGTCTTTTAATGGCAACCTCCCGTGGCCCAGGTAGTTGTACACATTATAAACACTCATAGGTGTTCGCATTATGGCTGTCGTTGTGCCGCCCGGCGCGCCGCCTGGGCGTCCTCCATCATCATTCGCTCCGTCAAACTCCGTGGCGTGCCTGAAAAAAGTGCCTGGCCGACGCTCGCCCGGTAGCTCGCCAGGTCACCTTCGTCTGTGCCGGTATCACCGTCAAGTCCGCCAATGAAGCTGTTGACGTCTCGAAGAGAAGCAGCTTGAGCATAGACCTGAGGATCCTTGACGACCGGCATCGAGACCGGCCGACCCCGGTAGGATCCTACTGAGCCTGACAATAGGTGCGCCGGCACTTGCGGCTCCGCTCGCTCCGCTCTTGGTGGGGGGATTCTGACCGCAGGTGATGTTGAGTAAATGACCGCAGGCCGATTTTTCGGAGTTCCACTTCCTTCATCCTCCTCTTCGACCTCCTCCTCTTCCTCTTCGTCTTCTGGTGGCGATGCCGGCCTGACTGACGCCTTAGAGGACGAGAGTCCCTCGAAATCAAAAATGCCTTCCTCCTCATTCTCCACCTGCGGATTGAGTGGCTTTTCCTGCTGTCGAGAAACTGTGGCATTCAGCGTTGATGTTACCGGCTGTGGCTTGGGAGAGATGGGCGGCGATGTCGTGGTACGGGTCGGAGACCTGGACGGTGGTGAGCGAATCGCCTTCTTATTGGCGAAAGATTTGGGTTTCGCCATGGCAAGGAAATCATCGTCCGATGAGTCGGAGTCGTCGCTGGCTCTCTCTTCCCTTTCTGGCGGCGGAGACTTGAGGAATTTCTTCGTACGCGGAACAGTGAGCTCGGCAGTATCCTTTGAGGGGTCCGGTATGCTTGCTTTTCTTGACGGCGAGTTGGCAAGCGAACTGCGGCTGGATGAAGGCGAGGCCAAGTTGCGGGGTGAGCTCTTTTCAGAAGATGGTTCTGGCGAGTCAGCGTTAATGACTGTCCAGATTGTGTTGGCGTCCAGAGGAGTCCGGGACAGCGCACGCAATGCCTGTGACGATGAGACTTTTTTCGGGGGCGGTTCGTTATCTTCGTCGGGGCCCAGTATGGCTTCGGCACTCATTGAGTCATCCTCCGGAGACGATTCAGGCTCAGGTGGGGGCACGTTGGAGGAGTGCAGCGAGTGCGACAGAACCAGAGATACTTCGGATGTGCGGGGTGAAGATGTCGGCAAGACCTCGCCTCCCTCAAACTCAAAGCGCACTCTTCGAGGACTCGGAGGAGGTTTGGAACCGCCGGTCGAAGATCGTCTCAGTGCGCTGCGGCGCACCTTGTGCTCGCCAGACTCGGACGCGCCCGAAGACGTGGTGTCATTCGTTCCTTTCCGTTCATGGTGAGGTCGAGTTGGCATCAACGAAGTTTGCGAATCGAGCGGTCGTTGTGTCTCGAGCTTGCTATCCTTCCTACTCGTAGGCCCCATGGTCGCGGCTTCGTCGGAAGTGGCTGAGGCTGTCGTGAGAGATGTGGACGGCATCGATGGCTTGGGGGACGCCTCCGTGTTTTTGCTGAGCAGGGGGAGGAAGTTCGGTGTGAAGACACCCTGGAGGTGGACGTCGCGCTCGTCAGACGGGCTCGCCAAGAGGTGATTTGGTGAGGCAGGCTTATTCCCGATCGTGCTATCGTCCTCTGTATGATCGGGTAGTGGAGGTGAAAGCTCTGTCGTTTGGGCAGCTATGTTGGATTTTGGGTCTAGGTCGGCAGTGGTGGCGTCAACGGCAATAGGACCGACGGAAGGCAACGAAACGAGATCGGCAAGTTCCAGCTCGGAACCCAAGGCGGGATACTGCGACAATGAAGCAGCGAGACCGTGGCGGACTTGGGTGGAGAGTTCTTCAGGAATGTTTTCTAGCAGGTCGCGCGAGTACCTCGTGAATTCGGCAGCCATGTCTAGGCGATAGGCGGCGACTTTGTGATCGAGCTGGGCAAGCTTCTGCTGCAGGTCCCCGATGAGCGTCGTCGCATCGTCCATGTTGCCAAAAGGGTGAAAGAAAGTAGGAACTCGAGAGACGCAGAGGGCGAGGGCGTGGACGTAGACTGGCACGGCAGAGCTAGGAGGCGGTGGGAGGGGGGGTTGCCAATGAGCCTAGCGTGCTCATGACGCAACGGCGGGATCGGTCGCTGGTCGCGATGCAGGATGTTTGCGTGGGACGTGGGATAGGTGTGGCAGTGGGTGTGGCAGTCACAATCGTGGGTGCAGTCCAGATGCCCTGCAAGGTGATCCACGGGTCAGATCAGCAGGTGACAGGCCGAGGGTTGTGGTGCCGTGCTGCGCTGCGCTGGGTATGGGCGGCAATTGGATTCGAGCGTTTGCTTGGGTGGTAGCTTGAATGGGGGTCTTCTTTTGCTCGGTGTTTCGGTTGGTGGCTCGATCAGGTCGGAGCGAGGTGCATTGGATGGACGGGACAGGGACGTCAGGGTGTAAGTGGGTGTGTTCGGAAGAGCGTCGTGTGGGTGCAGTGACTGTAGTGAATTTGTGGGCGTGTGTGACGGTTGCGGCAAAGATGGCGTTGATCGATCCGGATGATGGTGTTGGTGGTGGATGGAGGTGCTGATGCAAAACCTGAAGCGGGCAAGTTGAGACAGGTGAGCAAATGCAGATGGAAGAAAATTGAATGCTCTGCTGGATTTTGCCCTGCCTGTCGGCGCCTGCCTTCCTCCCTGGTAACTAGTAAGTTTTGGTACCGACCTACCTACCTGGTGAGGTAGGTAGGTGCCAAACAGAGGAGTGAGTACAAGGGCCTTTGGGCAGGCACGAACAAACTCAGCACATCCCCCTGGGCGGCTCGCTCCCTTCTACGCAAGTTGGGCCCGGTTTGAGGGAATGGGCGACGGCCGACCAGGGCGAGGCGGGGACCGCGAGCGGTGGAGCCCCTACAGCGGTCTTCCAGGGCCTAGAACAGCAGTTGCCCCTCTATAACCCACCCCTGTGCAGCCCTCCATGCCCCGTCACTGGCAACTCCGGTACCCACAGCCTGGGACTGCACCTGGCAGGCAGCCCGGCCATGCCCTGTCTGGCCCAGGGCCTGCATCCACCACCACCATGCCAAGGCGATACCTACGGCCGATCACTTTCCAGTGTATCTCTGCCCTTGTTCCTGCCAGGCAGCGAGGGAGCCAGGGAGACGGAGAGGGCTGGGTTCTCGGGTGAGCCACGGACCACAACTGGTGCCATGCCCTAAATCGAACTAGCGTGCTCGTCGCTCTTGCGCTAGCTCGGCCCAGTCAAAGCTCAGCCACAGCAACGTTTAGTGCAATATACCTTACATGTGCACAACATATTGTTGGAAAACGGTATGTACTGATGTCAATTCCCGTTTTGAGGTGCATGCCAACCCGCCCGCGTGGTACGTGCAGGGACTACTTCATAACCATCACAGTGAAATCAATCGTCTTTCCGGGTTCGGATTTTGGCAATATATTCTGGTAGCTTGCCTCTATCTAACTTGTTTGTGATGATGTCTACCGGATAAACACACAAGTAACCTCCAGGGCTGCCTCCTACAGAGGTCGAGACATCAGTGAGGGTAAGCATTCTGGCCATGTATGTTCTCTGCCTCATCGCTCCTTTCCCAGCACATGAGCTGGTAATAGCGATACTCTACTGTAGTTCCCCAGGTGCTGCCCGATATTGTCTTTTGACGACACGAATTCGAGCCATCATGCTGCGTCGCCGTCACAACACCACCCTGGGAGCCCGCAAAACGTGTATTTGCGTTCCAGATATTGGCCTGACAGGGAGGAAACTTTTTAAGATATCTGCCGGACTCGCATGGTTTTCAAGCAGGGTAGCATAATGCCGAACCGCACGGAAGAAACTGTTCCACTCAGGTTCTGTTTCTCGGCGAGGTCGCCGGGCGCAAGAGGCGTCTGGTCAAGTTAGCCGGCTCGTCCAGGTGCACTATTTTCAGGCAAGGTAGCTACATCATCCAAGACTCTCGTTCTCGAAATTTTTGATGCGCTCGCTATAATTTTCTCAGACCTACTACTTCCTTGACAAGCTTCTTTTTAGGCGAGTAAGCACTTCTTCCATAGCACCCAGATTGCCCGCTGGCAGAGCTATTTGATCAAGGAACCATTGGTGCGGGAGCAAGGAAATACTGACAGTGGGCAGTTGTCTCTAGGATCGTCTTGGCAACACGCAATTGCGGTGTTGAGCCCCGACATCGCGTCAAGATGCGATCCTTTCGTCGGGGTGCCAGGGGAGTGCCGCCGAAGCGGTTCACCCTAGCACTCCAGGGCTCGGGCCGTGGAGTCGCCCGAATGCTGCGGGCGACATGCGTTGTCTGCATCTTCAGTCGAGCTCCTAAGAGCCTTCTGGGATTTCCTGACTCTCTGCTCGGTTACCTGCCATACCTTGAGCGTTGTGTCGAGAGATCAAGGCCTCAAAGTCAAATACGCCAATTCGTCCGAGGATTCGGTGCTGATGCAACGAGGCTTCCGCCGATGGCCTCGATGCCTCTCGGACGTCTGTCAGCAGCACTTCAACCCTCAACAAAATTTCTTTGGTTTCCCGCAGAGTAGATTGGGAGCGTTGAACGGCCTCGAGAATTTTGGCTTGAGTATTCTTCTCGGGCGGCGAAGACGGAGGGTTGGGGGACGGTTTCGAGTTTTTGTCTCTGAGAGACATGAGCAACTGGTATATGGTTCTAAGCCCATGACATATTCCAGGACAATGGTGCAGCCGGCAGCGACCGCGTGAATATCGACGTTGGGCGTCATCTCGGGATGTGCAACAAAGTACGTCTGGGGCTTGAAGAAACAAAAAGAAGACCGAACAAAGTTGACGCAAGAAGACGGATATGATGCTGCTCTGGACGCTGCAATAGCGGCAGCTGCGTCGGCGACGCTGCTTCCTCGTCTCCTTGAGAGGCTAACGGAGAAGTTGCCATGGATGGCAGAAGTCCAGTACAGTCAGTCTCGACTCGGAGATACTCCCAACAGCGGAGACGGGCTGTACTATCCCTTTGTATCAGCAAGAAACAGAATCATGGCGTACACAGCTTGCCAGGAAAGAGCAAATGGGTAGCCGGTGCTAGCCAACTCCTTGAACGATGCAGGATCAACCCATGTGAAGACAAGTCTGTCTCGCGCTTGCTCATTTTACATCTGAGCAGGTGCTTGGGACCTGTGCAACCGCTTCTTGCCACATGTCTCTGATTGTCCCTTGCCTGTACTTTCGCCAGATGGCGTCTGCCTGGTCCCGAGGCACTTGCGAGTCGCGATCTACAAGAAGAAGCCACGCGGGGTCGAGATGACTCGAGATATCACCCAGAAGATGATATGTCTGGACAGTGACTGTGACTCGTTTGATGCCGTAGACCTTGTATTCGATGTTCCAATCCGTCAAACACACTTTGCAGCCTTTCGTTGTCCGAATTGCTGCTGTTCCAGACGGAGAGTGGTGAGGACTTGGGAAGGTAATTGCCACTTCCTTCTTATACCACCGTCTCGGTGGACATCGTTCGAAAACGAAAACATGTTCACACAATTGGTGGCGTGCCTCATCCAGATCGTTTCGCACCAAATCATTCCAATCTTTCCCCTGAATCTGGTGGGTAGCCTGGAGGAGGAGCTGGTTGTTGATGAACCTGGCTTCTAACGTGACGCGCCAGCTCGGAGGCGAAAGGCTGAGGGATGTGCTGGATTTGGACGGATATCCATCCTTCCAACAGAGTTCTCTCGGAGCGATACCGATTGGCGATCCAAGTCGATGATTATTCGCGAGGAGGCGGGCAATCTGATAACTAAGAGCTCGATGATCCCGGGTCCAAGAGTACAGAGGTAAGAACCTTCCTGTGTAGCATTCAGCCCGAGGGGTGTCTTGGTCGATGTGCGCTCCGAAGGCTGTGGTGAACTTATGGAGTATGATGCAGTGAGAACAGAAGCTGTACTTCTGGCCTACATCGCGTTCGATGCGTTCGAGCAGGTCTTGCTTCTGCTGCCTGCAGAGTGTCTGTGGGAGAGGAAAGATGTTGAGAAGCGTTTTGCAGCAAAGAGAGAATGCTAGGACATCCTCTGGTGCAAGCATGCTACCCACGATGAGCACTAATTCAACTGGGAGTCCGATGGAGGTTGACACTGGGCGGCCAATCTCCTTTTGGAGGTCGTTCTTGTTACGTGCGCCTGCTCGTCGGCGGAACTTGTCGCGAATGAAGCGAAATATGGTTGCCATCCTATGGATGTCTGCAAAGAAATCGGATGGTCTCAATTTCGATAGCAGAAGGGGGTCACCAACCAAACTTAAGAATGGCGATGCCTGTGGCTTGAGGTGTATGCGAATGTCTGGTACGGAAGTTAAGATCCAACAGAAGTGACTGGGCTTCTTCTTCGTATAGAGTTTGCCAGAGGCTCTCAGGATCGAGTCCAACCCTAGCATGGCAGCACGGCCAACTTCTTATATATCAGTGCAGGCTATCGGAGACAGATCCTTTGCTTGACTACCCTGATGGGTGCCGCCACCGACGAAAGGGTTGGCGTCTAGGTGATGACTCCTAGGACCTTCAACGATTCAGGAGGATTCCTACGGTTGCGACCAGGAAAATATGGGATCCGTCAAATCATCCAAGGCCGACCCTGAGTACCGGAACAGAGTTTACACTTAGAGTACAAAATCACGATGGCACAGGGAGGGTACCGAAATGGCTCAGAGAGGTTGTCTTCATCGCAGTAATCATCCCTGCGGTTTGGATTCGAAAGAGGTTTGATCCAGGGTCATCGATGGGCCGAGAGGAAGCAAAGTCGCCCGCGAAACACGAATCTGTGAGAGCATCGAGTTGCAAGAAATACGCTATCTGTCGCCGGACGGGGGAGTTTCGCTCGCCCGAGATTTGAGCTCCTTCTGGGGATGAGCTGAATTGAGTGAAGCAATGTGACTCACATCAGAGATTGGATGCCGCAAGGGCCAAACAATCTGGGTATGCTTGACAACCAACCTCGTGCGAATCTCAAGGTGACTAGAGTGGTCAACAGGGGACAGTTATCAAACCCACCGCTAAAAGAACACGGCTGCAATGCATGCTGGCTTGACGGTGATGTTTGTGCGTGGCGGCATGGTTGGGGATGCTCAGCCACAAGCCTTATTAGGTGAGCTTATGTTCAAAGTGTTGGGGGTCAAGGGTCTGAGAAAGGTGTAGTTTTTTTAGGAAGCTATTCTGCAGGCAGGAGAGTGCCTGGAACTAAGCTATGGGAGCTGCCAGGGCACAGGCGACCTGGCAACAGGTGAATGGCACTGAGTGAATGCCCTGGAAGCCCCAGGTGAATACCGCCAACACAAAGTAGCGAGGCTTTGGTAACCAGGCAATCCAGATGGGGCCTAGTGCAACCTGACTCGGCGGTTTTAGGAGTGCCATCCTTCCATCCAGCGTTCCGTCGCCCTTCGAAAGTAGGGCCAATCATCCCACCCAACCCATCACAGTGGCTACCCTGTTGCCTTTTTGAACATGGTCCTTTTGCTTCAATCACATGTGGCGGCCGTTTCCGACATCCACATTTGACACTTCCTCGTAACTAGCGTCTATTGAAAGCTGTCCTCAAACCTTGCGCAACCTTGTGCGTCCCAGTACAAAACGCCTTGACGGTGTCCCCGGCCGACACACAGTCCATCAATTTTCTGGCTCTGGCGCCTACGTCGTCCCTCCCCACATCGCGACAAGATACGAGGCCGGCTGCTCGAACATCCAGCTACTGGGCCTATAGAGAGTCGGATAGCTGGGACTCTCCTGCTGATCAGCTCGCCACTGCCACGATATCACCTTGTTGTGAAGATCATGAATTCTTGGGCATCCACAGATTGCCGTGGCACGCCCTGGGGTTGAACTCAAATTACCGCAGCGAGAGCCGTGCTCCCATGGGATGAACAGCCTTGGTCCTGTTGCGCCAATACTGACCGAGGATATGCAACGCGCACCGCCACCCTTTGCAACCCACGGCCATCACAGGCGATGTCCGAAGGAGGGGCCGCATCAACCGGGTTCGGTGACTAGGTGGGGGTACGACCGGTAGTCGTTGTCTCCACCCGGAAGGGTCGATGGATCCCACCTCGGAGCTGCAGCGTGGGGGTTGAGCTTAACGCTGGACAACTTGGCTAGGCCGAATCGCGACCTGCCCGGGTATCAAGCGATTTTTGTTGTGTCGATGTAGCAGTATGATTACACCTCCTAAATATGCTACTAAATGCACTGAATGAGAATATGAATTCCTCATCTGATGGAGTCTTGCAAATATTGTGCCAAGAAATATGCCAATCTGCGTCTGGAACAAACACTCCGAGTGATCACCAATGTCGCAACAAGGCAACGCATATCACCCGGGGGGCGCCGGAGCGAACTTTGACATTATAAGCAAACCGCTGCGTGTTGCCCTATCAAATGATGAACAATTTGTTGACTGTTCAGCTGATTCCTGTCGCGCCGCTCACCCGGTCGAACAAGACGTTTTTGTCCACAAGTGTCAGGACCCCTGCGGAGCCACCAAGGGCCTGCCAAGCAAGGGGGCTGGCCCGGGGCTAAGGGTCATGAGAGAACGTATATGTAGGCTGCGGAGGGCCCTCCAAGCTGCGGAGGGCCAGAATTCAGATGTATTCCTATCCCATACCCAAATTCTTACTACCTGCAGACCCTGTGGAAGACCCCTTCACTCTGCTCTAAATAACGCTCTGACAAAAAGTCACGTCCAAGACATAGATCTTGCAGCGCTCTCTCCGCAGGCTTGTCGAAGAATATCCATGGTTGCTGTATTGAAGCAGCCCATGACGGCAACTTGAAGACTGTTGTTGACCAATCAGCTGACGGTATCCTACGAACCACTGGGCCCTTGCCGGCGCGATTCATACCACAATTCACGACCTCTGCATCCATCGCAGACTGGAGTATCCAACGGTGACTGGACAGCATGGTCACAAGGTCATTGCAGACCATCTGATCAAAGTAAGTCTACATCACTGGAATAACACGTATAATATGCGAGCCGTCAGGCAAACGAAGGAGTCGGGACCCAATCGTTGCATCTTGCAGGGATATAGTCCTTCTACCCGGCACCCTTTTTCTTCTTCGACCAATGTCATGTATAAACCTTACTACATTGGCTTAGTTCTCTGGCCGGGGGGTATAGCGCGACCTATGGCGTCTTCCAACTGTGCTACACCGAAATGCTACACCTGCCCGAAGCTCAGTCCTCATGGGTTGGCTCGCTGCAAGTCTCCCTCTGCTTCGCTTTGTGCACCATCTCTGAGCGTCTATCTGATGCCGAGTATGACCGTCACACCCTCTTCGTTGGATCACTGCTTGCCGTTCTCGGCAGCTTCATGACGAGCCTCGCAGAGCCTGTGCGCCGGCTTAGGTCTCGGCTTGATGTTCACGCCTTTGGTGACTGTCCTAAGCTCCTACTTCAGAAGAAAGAGGTCGTTGCCCTGGGCAATAGATTAAGGGCTATGCACGAATCGCCATCGGTTTTGACCCCATCACATACATCAATCTTCTACTAATACAAACGCTACAGGGAGGCCCGCGCGCCCATTTGTTGGATGGCTAGCGGACACGCATGGTGTGCACGTTATTGGGCTTTGTACCTTTAGCAGGGCCGCCTACCGCTGGTGCGATCATTGACCAGTTCTGGAGAGAGTATCTATGGGCTCAGATCTGGGGTGGAACAGACATATTTCTAGCTACAATCATAGTCATAACGGCCAGGTGGTGGGCGACTGGGTGCAAACTGATCGTCCAAGCTTGGTGTTGCCTTCGTCGTACGTCGAGGGCATAGGGCCAGGCAATGCATGGCAGCGTACTGCAAAATTCGCGCTGCGATCAAATGAACAAAGTCATTTTTGTTTCTTTTCAACTTTGAAACACAATTAGCGGGTTTCGATAGCGGTGATAACAGTGGGGGACTGGGTGGCATCGTGATTTGATCTAACCGCCGCCATGGCGGTTCGTGATGAACACTGCTGTGAGGGGGAGAAAACAAGAAGACAGTGCCAAACGCAAAGATATTGAAAACGAATGCTATGTAATATGTTCACGGCAGGATCCTCGCCGCATACAAGGTTGCGAAGTCGTGATTTTATCCCAGGCAGCATCATGATCGTTTCGTTCCTGGTGATCAGGGGCTTGAGCAGGTATTGTACAGCATGATATTTGTCATGAGATAAGTACACTGTCGACTTCCTAGAAAGTAATCAAAGGGTTGGTGGGCTCTCTATAGGCATGGATATTCCTGAAGGTGATATAAGGCAAAGATGGAGTGATTGGCATGGCAGGTCTCCCAAGGCAAGGAGCCTGACTTGTGAGAGGGGTGCAGAAGGTGAGGTCTCATCTTACCTTAGTAAGCGTGGACCTACCCCTGTTCATGCGCCAAACGTCCGGACGCTTGGCGCTAGGTACCTGAGCATGGCGGGTGGGCATCCTCCACGATCGGTCGAGGTTGTTCAACGAGCCGAAACTGGAGCTTCGATCTGAAATTCCCTTCCCTTCAGTCTACCAACCTTGGCATTTCCGCATTCCCGCCTTGTCAATACAGTCAGCTCTCAACGCCACAGCTAGCGATCGTATAGACAACACCCTGAACACGACACGAGACCAAAGTGGACAGCAGAAGCCTACGAACCACCCCCAAAGCCGCCATCATGTCAACAATAACCCCCGAAGCACTGGAATCGGGCCAGTCGCCCGTCATTCCCCTCTCCTTCAATGCGAATCAACCAAGTACGATTCGACTCTACCCACTCAGCAACTACACCTTTGGCGTCAAGGAGACGCAGCCAGAGGAGGACCCGTCGGTCCTCGCCCGCCTCAAGCGCCTCGAGGAGCATTACACCCAATATGGCATGCGCCGCACCTGCGAGGGCATCCTCGTTTGCCACGAACACAACCACCCCCACATTCTCATGTTGCAGATTGCGAACGCCTTCTTCAAGCTCCCCGGCGACTATCTGCGCCCCGAAGACGACGAGAGCGAAGGCTTCAAAGCGCGCCTGGACGAGCGCCTCGCCCCTGTCGGCCGCATCGGCGAAGGCGAGGAAAAGGGCGACTGGCAGCTCGGCGACTGTCTCGCACAGTGGTGGCGACCGAACTTCGAGACGTTCATGTACCCCTTCATCCCGGCACACGTCACTCGGCCGAAAGAGTGCAAGAAGCTGTACTTTATCCAGCTACCCAAGAGCAGTATGTGCCCTCTCCCGTGTGACCCTTGAGTTCGACACCATGCATCGGGTTCGGCTCGCTGACTATTTCTCTCCCTTTGTAGAGGTCCTCAGCGTTCCCAAGAATATGAAGCTTCTTGCCGTTCCTCTCTTCGAGCTTTACGACAATACGGCACGCTACGGCCCGCAGCTGTCCGCGATCCCCCATCTCCTCAGCAGATACAACTTTGAGTTCGTCGACGAAGACGGCAAGGTCGTTGCCATGACTCCCGGCACCGGTCCCCCGGATGGCTATGTCCCGACGACCAAGGTGCTGGCAGGCGACGACACAGAGATGGCAGAAGAGGTGAAGGAGGAGAACGGCACAAGCTAGGAGAACAGGTTCAATAGGCAGAACGGCAACGGTTGAGGCGACTGGAATCAGGCGTTTGGCGTGGAATATATCTGAGTGCACAAAAGCATAGCAGGACGTGCAATACCCCTGGGCTACCTGGGGAATACAAATTTTCATCCCCGCTTCATGGCGCCCTTCGCTACGGTGAAAGATCCAGACCGGTTTGGACTTCTTTCACACTGCTCGTCACCTTACAACACCCATTGCTTTACGCCTTCTGGCCCTGGATTGTCGCCATGAGCCTCCGCTGGTGCTTCGAGGCGCGGAACTCGAGATACCAGATGCCCTGCCATGTGCCGGTTGCCTACGATACGCGTCAGTCTACAAGTAGTCGAAATTTCCGTGCACGTCACTCACAAGCTTGCCGTCCTTGATGGGGATGGTCACGCTCGCACCGATCAGCGCACTCTTGATGTGGGCCTCCGACAAGTCAGCAAAGTCCTTCAAAAAGACCCTCCGGACCAGAGACTCACCGGCATGTCATCCGGACCCTCGTCGTCGTGGCGATACAGCGCCTCGCCCTTGGGCCCCGCCTCGGGCGCGATGCGGTCCAGTGCATCGCTCATGTCGGCCCGGACGTCGCTGTCCCAGTTCTCATTAAGGCTGAGGGCGCAGCTTGTGTGCTGCACGAACAGGTGCAGGATGCCGACCTTGAAGTCTTTGATCTCGGGCACCGCCTTGAGGACGTCGTCCGTGATGAGATAGGACCCGCGCGACTTGGCGGGGAGCGAGAACTGCTTCTGCGCCCAAGCGGTGGCCATGGTGGGCGTGGATGGCGGGGTATGACGTGCTGCGCTGGGAATACGCGAGTCTGGCGACAGGATGCCGAGGAACGTGAACGGGAAAGTCCAGAGGTAGTGAAACCAGCCAGGAACAAGACAGATAAGGAACAGCACGAAGAGAAGAAATGTTGTTTTCGAGATCTGGTGGTTGTCGATTGAGGAGGGCATATTTGGTGTTGAGCTAGAATGATGTAAGAATTGAAAGGTGGGGCATCTTGAATATCAGGACAACGTCCCATGCATTGCGTTGCACAGTCATCGAAGTTCGACGAGCCAGACAACTCAAGAATTCAAGGGTAGTCCACTTTCATAAGATGGGGAAAAAAAAAACTGGTTCGTAATGCAAGCTATCATGCTCTGGCGCACAGGTGGAATGCTTGTACCATCGAACATATCCTAATAGCACGACCGTCTTCAAGGTCACTGATCCTGCAGCTTCAGACACTGTGACGCATCTTGGTCGACCGGGATTCTCAGAGCACCTGTGAACTTGCCCACGATTCTTCGACAGATGTTCAGATCAGCTGTAGACGACCCCTCCATATGATGCAAGCGTGGTGCGAAAGCCTCACCGGGGTCTACTCAGTTCAAATTCCCCATATTCCTGAGCATCCAGCAAATCTGTGTTGAGGGAGACTTGCTTGAACAGCTGGAATTTCCGACATCCATATACATCGTAGCAGGCTGACCAAGTCTTAATTGCTGGCTGGTTCGGACCTGAGAACAGTGGAAATGGCAGTGGACGATTGAAACCATAACTTTGATTTATGTACACAATTGCAACACGACTCTATCGCAACCACTCCTCTTACCAACTAATACTTTAATTGGACTCCAGTCCCATGTGCCGCACGCTTCTTTCATGCGAGGGGGTAGGCGGTTTCGGGAAGAGACTCGAGGTGCTTGCGGTTGTGCTCATTGGCCTAGGCATATCGTCAGCAATCAGGATCACAGTAGGCCACCTGGCTACGTCGCGGCCGAGAAATGGAAAGGCTCACATATGGCAAGCCGCAGTAGGTGCACGAGGCAATCTCAGGCTTGTCGGTGTTGATAAACACCCGCGGATGGCCAGCGGGGCCGCCGCCACCATCGCACGCGACAATGCGGCTGTGCGTCCACCTCACGGGCTCCTCGTGAATGAAGGACATGGCGGACTCGGGTTGAGGCTGGTGTATAACGTCAGTACGTCGTGTATGTGACAATGGACCGTGTCGAGCTGTAGTTTACCTGGAGGTCAAAGTTGGACTGTTCGAACCTTGGGCCGGTCATGGCCTCAGCCCTGGGCTTCTGGCTGCGGGACCAGATACCAACACGATTGGGCGCCTGCTGGACGTCCCTGGGGACGGCATTGTCGGCTGTCTGAGGGGTACTGGCCTCGTTCTTCTCGGTGACAGAGACGGTCTCGGTTGTTCGGGCCGTGGCGGAAACGGAGAAGGGGCGGTAGAGGGTGCGCAGCTGGCGCGAGAGCTGGGTGGTCGCCCGCCTGGAAGCCGGGAGGAGCATTGCGTCAATTGAATGTGTGGTCGACCTGGGAGTAGAAAGATCTCGTCGTCACCCTCACGGCGGTTGCGGTCGCTCGAGTTCGTGATCTTGGAGCTTGGGAGGTCTTCGATCAATTGGAATGGCTGCACTGTCATTGGTTCGGAATAACTGCGGCCAGGCCTGTTCACATTGGCTCGTGCGTCAGGGCGGTCTGGTCGCATGCACTTGGATCTTGCGGCAGAATTATTTTGTCGGCCCAAGGTCCCGCTCTAGTAGTTGCAGGGTATTGTTTATCACAACCAAGCAATTCTGTCTCTCGAAGAGGAGAAGCCAAAGGCGCCCACTACGGAACATCTCAGGCGACAAAGAACTCCCACGACCCATTCCCAGAGGTACCCTGCAAAGGGACGGATCCTGACACACCTGTGAGCCTTCACGACTGCACACCACGAGGGCATCCCCGACAGCAAACGTCCTCCATCCCGCCATGGCGCCCAAAGATGTGGCGCCCGAGACGCCCCCAAGCCGGGGCATCTCTTCCCGTTTGCTCACGATGAAGTTTATGCAGCGTGCTGCCGCCACATCAGAAACGCCCACCACACCCGACGAACCCTCCGCGAAATCCGGAACCACATCCTCCTCCAAGCGCCGCCGCTTCGAGAACTCACCACTTACTGGCGACTACCACTCCTTTGACGAGGCCGCGATACAAGCTGCCCTCAAAGAGCAAGAGGCCACACGACAGGCTGCGCTGAAGCTTCACAAGACGGAGCTGGCCGACACGAACTGGGTGCTCGACGGCTTCGCGAGCACCACGACCGCCGCGGCCCCCAGGGTTGTCGAGTATGTCGGTTTTTCAGAGATTGACGCCGGCGGAGAAGAAGACACGCCCAACCGCGCCCAGGCTGGTAGGAAGAGGGTCGGCAACTACAAGACGCGTGAAGAGAAGGTTTGTCTCACCATTCGCTAGCGGCCTCCGGGACCGCCTCGCCTGCTTCCGCGGACGATGCATGTGTGCTAATTCATCCTCGCAGCAGGCGAAAGAAGACGCCTCATCGGATGAGGACAGTGACTCGACTGACGAATCCTCAGACGACGGCCGCGACAGGCGGGCCTCCAAGACCTCGACACCACACAGGGACGGCCCCCGGAGGCAGAGCAGCGTTCACCGCAGGGAGTCTGCTGGCGCAGCCAAGGCCAAGGAGCTCAGGGACAAGCGCAAGAATCAAAAGGTCAACCTCAACAACATCAGCTCAGTTTCGGGCAACGCAAGGTCGGGCCCCATCACGTCCATCTCAGGGGGCGGCGGCGGCGGCGCGGGGAGCAGGTCCGGTCAATTTAGCTGCCACTCATGCGGCAAGACGGGGCACAAGGCCGTCGACTGTCCCAGCAGACGCAACGGTGGCGATAAGCGTCGATCCTATGGACGAGGGTCCTGATGCTGGGGTACCCCTTTCGTGCACCGCCGTGTCGGCATCAATAGATGGACTCTAGAACCATGTGAGTACGCAATGGTGAATAGGCGGCCAAACCGTCCACATCAGCGTTTTGGATCAGGAAGGTCCATCAGCCCGGCGTGGGTCGATTGCATAAATATATTGATGTCCTGCGAGTCATCGCGGCAAATGAAGTAGCCTCGCCACATGTCGATGCTACAGTTTTCGAGTCAGGCCTCATGCACGTAACATACTCGCAGCTCCTGACAGCCCCAGAAGTACAGACACTTCGGTAGACAAACAAAGATACCCCTTGTAACCACAAGAATACTCGTGCTGTTTTCTGATGTGACGCCGGGACCCTTCCAGACATGACTCCCAAACGGGAACGCAATCAATATGAAGACGCCATTTTGAGCATCAACACCTTGTCAATATGTTACAGAAACAAAATGGAAGGTCCGAGAGAAACTTGCATAATGCTAAGAATACTCACATGGCGGGCGCAGTACTTCTACAACTGCGCGCCAGCACGCTGTTGGTTGGCTGGCAGTCTCTATCTACATCAGACTGTCTTGCCCCAAACATGATTCGACCACGCCGGACGACAGTTCATTCCAGAGAACCATGACCTTGCAACTGCAGTACTTTAAAAAGAAAGAGAGAAAAACTCCGGAATGTCTCGACACATGTATGCAGACAGACAGAGACTTGTCCAAGGTGGGGGGTGGAAACGGGCTATTTGAGTTCTGTCAGTACATTGGGCGAGAGTGCTGCCATGTCGAGCAGCAAGACACGAGCTTTGTCACTTTACCTCACGGTACCTCCTTGTGCAGTGATACCCGAAACCCCAGATCACAAGCGGTCGATCAAAGACGGGACGGCCCAGTGACCAACACCCCCAACGCAGGTAACCCTGCCAAGAAAACGGCCGGGTGTGCCGGGCCAAATGGCATGAATGACGAACGACTTGTGGTGTTGCGCAGCACACACAACTCGGGGCGCGCCAACGTTGCAACAGCTTCAGGTCTGTTGCCTGTCGAAGGACCTGTCGAAAAGGAGCATTATCCAGGATCATCCCGAGTACCAGGGATGATTTCACCTGTGGAAGCGAACCTTGACCATGGAAAGCCCCAGCGTCTATTGACGCGACTCATGCCCGCCGCGCTCCTCGTGCAGAGGAGAGAAGACTGTTGAAGCCCATGCAGCCAACCACTCTCGTTACTCCTGCTACTGTGGCACTAGGGGGTCATACCTGTGGCAATTACAGAACTCATCGTCGTGTGACTGCCTCGGTATCCCGAGGTACGCAGCTGTACACACGCTGTGACAAGGCAGATCACTGACATCAATGGATAATACTCCGGAGCCGAAAAAAATGGTCGGTTCGATAGAATTTGAGTATCACAGTGGACTCGGAAAAGGGAAGGGGGGGGGGGTACCCAACTTGCTCCGTGGTCCGGCCATGATCTAAAGCCGCTGGCTTCGGGGCTGGAACTCCCTTCGGCATGAAGAGACGATGCAACAGTATGGAGTGGCTTGGGGCTTGGGAGCAGCTAGTACGACCACCTTGACGCACGGGTCGCAGGGCCGTGGCATCATGTGCGCGGCCTCTACCATGCCGTGCATGTTGCATCGCACGTCACTCCGATGTACCGAGGACAAGGTGAATTGGGCCGCCGGCAGATGAGGTGGGCCGGCACAGTCTCCCGGCCCGGCAAGCGGGAGGGGGTGAGAACGAAGGTGCAGCGTCGATCCAGTCGCTTGACTTATTATAAGCACCGGGTGGTCCTACATGAGTTACCCAGTGAGGATGTACAGCACGTGTTCCACATTCCTTGTAGCGACAACATGTGTCTGTGTGCAAGTGGCGGAGCGGAAGGATGCATATGAAGAGGTTACCGATACCTCATCGAGCCTTCATGTCGAACCGCCCTGCGTGGCTGATGAGTGGCGAGCGAAGCAGGGCGAACCGCGGTCAGGGCACGGTAAAGGCATGGCAGCCAACCAAAACTTCCCACGGCATACGTATACTTTGGTAACCTCTGAGCCGCACATCACCAGCAGCCAACCTGCTGTCATACAACAGACTAGACTGCGCTATATAGAAGGCTCTACATGTAGGTAGAACAAGCAATAAAGAATGCTGGGGGTACGACTCGGGAGCGTCGGCCGCGATTGAGCTGAACATGTTACGGTGACATCATGCCAGACTGTCATTTGAGATTGGCAAGGATTGAGTGAAGACCGGGCTTCGACTATTGTTCCGGACTCCGTTTGGCCTTTGCTCCAAGGCCTTCAATCGATTCCTATCAGGTTCGGTGCCGTCCTAGGGCCGGCAACTGTCCGCAGAAAAGGTTGTCCCTAGCGGCTGGGGGCGGGCTAAGATTACGTGCGGACGTGGTGCAACATCATCATCTCCTCGACCGGCCATACAAAGACCACAGGGAGGTACTTTGGGTACCGTTCTTTCTCCCCATCATGATACGAGCCGGGGAGACCTGGTCCCATTGCCCCAAGACAAAGCTCCAAGCGAGCCGAGATGTGCATTTCGAAGCTGGGCGATCACGGCAAGCGGATTGGATCAGTGGAAGCGGAAAATGTACCGAGCTTCTAGAAGATGACTCGAGTAAGCAGCATGGCCCACTGCAGGCGAAGAAGCCCGAACGTAGGCGGAAAGTTGCCTCTTTTGCGGAGAGAAAGTGACCTGGAGCAAGGCCGGGTCCTCATGTTTCCACGCCTCCGCCTTCCTACTTTGTGATATTGCCCCGAGCCGGCTTGCTTGGGGTCCTGATCGTCGAGTGATTGCCTTCGGCTCCGATTGCCGGGAGCGCACCAAGTGACAAGCGGACAATCTGGCTCATGACCTCTATCTTCCGTTCCAGAAATCCCAGAACGTGGCAAAGGGTAGGGGAGGCGTTCTTCGGGGCCCGCTAAAGCATGACGACGATTGCTAGCAGGCATGCGTACCCGAGGGAGCCTGGGCTAGTTGGTAGCGTCTGCACCAACACGGTCAAAGGTCATCTGCATCGCTTGCGCCTGTATCGACAAGGGGACATGCGGCAGTCAAGACCGGTTCCTGGAGTATCAAGACGTGACGATGGCGGCATGCGACGCAACAGCACCCCATGCTCCGACGCCGGTTTGCGCTGATACGCTCGCGAAATGACCACATCTCGGTCTGGGAAATGCCCAGCTATCTCACATGACTGTCGAGGGATGGTCAAGGATAGGTTTTGGGCTTCTTTTGGGTTGGGAGACCGAATTGGCTCAACAGCCTAGCTTCTGGTCGGTGGTCAAGGCTTCCACAGGGCTTGCTCATTGGTGGCTTCGGGCTTGGAAT